TATGGTCGTTTGCCGTGGTCACTGAGAGAAGCGACGCGCTGTTGTTGACGTCCCAGTCATCGAGAGAGACTACAGTTCGAGCGATCTCTTCCAAAGGTATTTGAAGTATCTGAGAGAAGCCGGAGTTGATCGTTAACTCGGGTGAAGTCGTGGAGCGTGAGTAAAAGGATATATAAACTCAAGAGCGGTTATTGCAGGACTAACTGACTTTGTGGTTTATTTGCTGCCCTTTGATACACTGTGGAAACCTTGATGGACTAAAATGACTGACTGTTTCTCTGAACTCCTCTTTTCGCACAATCCTTCCACACTAAGACTATGTGAACTGTGTGAAGAAGGTTTGATATGAATGAAACCTGCGTTGTTTGCTGTATTGTTTAAATTGGTGTTGTGTATGTTCTTTATTCCTATTATTCCAATGGTGATGTGTGGTGTGATGAATTTGGTACTCTGTCATGGTGAATATAGCCTACTCCAATATTTGCATATTGAATCATAGTGGTTGGGTTTTCTTAGAGTCTACTCTTGAAACATTAAGGGTTCATGTTAATTACTTAATACATGTGACCTGTGTTCGCTTTTCCTTCTTGACGTGACTAACGACCCCAAACAAGATTATATCTTGATTATATTTTGGCAGAATATATATCTGTCTGGCACCCCAGCATAAAATGAAGTAGGAAAGTGTTACAAAGCGATACTGTTGTCATAGATGAGGGGTGCCTGTCCGATCTCGGTTTCTGGAACAACCTGCTTCAAAGCTGGAATATCTATTTTCTATAATGACGTTCCCGAATCGCCCATAGCTTTGGAACTATTCACTGATGCCTCTCCCTCTATTGGCATTGGGGGATTTTTTCAAGGGCTATGGTTCGCCAAAAGATGGCCAGTTAAATTTTCTACCTTAAATTCAGGCTCCGTTTCATCCGCCCTCTACAAATTATATCCCATTTCAGTATCTAGCGTTCTCTGGGGACCGGCTTGGTCTCGTAAACGGATCACTATGTTTTGCGACAACGAATCGGCCGTTGCCATAATAAACAAAGGGAGATCTCCCTGTCAGGCAATCCTGTCGGTTTTAGGGGAATTATTTGGCAGTCGGTTAGTCATAGATTTATTATTAAAGCTGCCCATATTCCCATTCTGCTTGGTTTTCGTTTAACATGTTTTGTTTTGCATATCATATTTCTCTATTCCCCATTCTAGTCACTACAGTTTGCGCTTTCTTAGTCCACAACTTCCAATCTCGTAATTTGAAAATCTCAACTTTAATCAAACTGCTCGCAGGAATTAAATTTCACGCCAGATTTCACAATCCATATTTTCCCAGTTTTTTCTCCTCTCCAAACATTCGTCTGTCACTCAAAGGCTTAACTAAAGCTACGCATAAAGTTCCTGACCTCACCATAACTATGCCTATATTAGAAAGGCTGGTCAACTCCCTGCGTCATGGTTTATTCTCTGATTATATTAACGTTCTCCTGGAAGCTGTGTTTCTAACAACTTTCTTTGGCTTCATGCGTCCAGGGAATTCACTTCGGCATCCCATAAATTTGACCCCACTCGAGTGACTTACGTTTTTCACCTCATTTCTTTTCAATCCTACTGAAGCATTTTAAGACCGGTTCATTAGGCTCAGGCATAAATCACAATATCTAGAATCAACAATAACTACTGCCCCTTTATTTCTACGGTAAGCTTTCTCAAAGCACGTCCTTGCACCCCCAATCAACCTGCCCTCCCCAACGGTTCTCCCATATCAAGAGAATGGTTTAGAACTCATCTAGCGACCGTCCTTCAGAACTTGGGGCTATCGTCTCATCTTTACACTGGACATTCATTCAGAATCTGTGCTGCTACAACAGCAGCCGAATGCGTGATTCCATCCTCGTCAATCAAGCTCCTGGGCAGATGGTCTTCTTCAGCATACGAATCCTAAATAAGATGTGATGCTCAAACCGTCAGGAATGCTCATCAAGCTCTCTCAAGTAATTTCAAAGGTACATCCTTAATTTAAACTACTGGTGGTGATGTTTTTCATACGCTTCTAAAATTCAATCGCTTTAATTCCCAATTCTACCCCACTCAGGGCCTAAGCAACCCTTCTAAATCAACAGGTTAAGGGTCCTCATGCACCTCGGTAAACCACATTATACATTACTCAAATCCTCTTTTGCTAACACTAAAGATAACTTTGTTACTTAACAAGTGTCAGGTAAGTTTACAGCATATCATAAACCCCTTATCCTAAATCTCCTGCGGTAAGTAGACTATCTATACAAACTTCTAGGTGTGGCGGCAGTTTCCTTTCCTTTTTTTATTTCACAGCCTATGCAGCTTGCTTTTTCCGTTCGGCCTATCGGGGCTAACTCAAGCACCCACACCGTCTTCTCCACACCATGGCCTAACATGGCCCCCTTTTCATGAGCTATGCGGCTTCTCACACACTGGCCTATCAGGGCCTCTCTCACGGCCAACTCAGCTTTTCTCTTACCTCTGCCTATTGTGGCAGTATACACGGCCAAACGGCTTTACGTACCTTGACCTAACGTGACAGTCTTTCACGGCATATGCTGCTTTCTGTACGCCTAACGTGGCAGATGCGCAGATTACCCACCGCATGCTGCACCGCGAAGCACTCGTCAACTGGTGGGTATCAATTTCCCTTCTCAGTAGTTTGGGGTAGGCTCCGCCCCCGCCCTCATCTTCAGGCAGGAACTGCATCTGCTACCCTACGGACTCCGCACGGGCAAATAACTTTAACATTTCATCTATTTGATAATAATTTGCATACAACTGTTAAATAAATCTTATTAATACTAGTTTTGCATACGTTAGTTCCTGTGTGTCAGTTCCTGTGTGTCAGTTCCTGTGTGTCAGTTCCTGTGTGTTAGTTCCTTGCTCCATCGTTTGGTCTGTTTCGGCCCTCTGTTCAGTCCAGTTCTCTGTCTGGTGTCTTCAGTGTTTAAGGTTGGTTCCGTTAGTTCTACAGGGTCCATCTGTTTTGTTTTTCATTAGTTTAATAAAGTCTGATTGCTGCACACAGATCCTCCACTTGCCTTCATAGGAACCAACCCGTGAACATTCTCAGAACTTCATCTAACAGGGAACGTTCTCGCAAGGTTCTCTCAAAGCTATGAACAAACGTTCCTCAAGTAACTTTAATAGAACGTTTGTTCAAAGTTATCCGGTCTTTAATAATGTTCTCAAAACGTTAGCAAAAAAACATTATATGTCATTCATGAAATGTTTTTGTCTGTTTTATTTGAAATATTACTACTTGTTTCAGAACACTCAAAAGTAACATTCCAATAATGTTTGAAGAATGATCAAATTAAATGTCCCCTTAACGTTCATGTACCAAAAAAAAAGTTTTTAAAAAGTTTTTAAAAAATGGGATGTTTTGAACGTTCAGAAAAGATTCAGAAATAACGTTTTCATAACTCAATGGGAATGTTAGCAAAACATATTTTGTTAGCTGGTTTGGGCATTTTTTAAATCAAAAGTTTTACTCACGTTAGTCAATGCAATTTGAAAAAGTGTAATTTTATTAATTAACTGTCACAGTTTCATTTTCATGGACTTTTAGTTTGTTTTTCTCAGTCACATGTTCTCCTTTTGTCTTAGTTTCCTGCCACTCGTTTTTTATCCTTGGTTACCATCATTATGAGTTCTGTGTTTCTGCTGTGTTTGATTAGCATCTCGTTTGTGTTTGCTCTATAAGTTGTACCCTCACAGTCACTCTCGCCTCACTGTCTATGTCAGAGGTTGTGTTTTGTTTTCCTGCCAGTTTGGAATATTGTCTGTGTGGAATATTAAAGCTCTTATCTTCATTGTGTTTCCTGAAACCTTGTGTGACAAAACCTTTAACAAGTCTTCATAAATGCTGTAAAAATATACTGCTCATTGTTAGTTAGCTAATGCATGAGCATGGAGACATTTGAACAAATGAGACAGTGTTAAAATTAAAATTATAGCCCTACATAAAATAAATGTAAGTAGAATTATCTTTACTGAACCCGATTTTGTTTAAAAATTTGCATGCACGTTTGTTTTTGTGTTTATAGCTCTTGTCACCACAGCAACGGTAGGAATCACAACAGTATTAGCAGCAACAGCTCTGCACAGGAAGTGAGAGGAGAGAAGTTGTGAAGATGCAGTCGGTTATGATGAGTGTCATAACAACAACACCGACAACACAACAGCACTAATGTCACTGGAGCATTTGACCTGGACTCAAACCTCTACATGTACATACTGAGCAGTTTCTGTTTTTCATGAGATTGTGAGAAGCCTGAAAAGATCAGTTGTATCTGATAATTATTTCATGTAATTGACGTGGGTAATGACTGCTAGGATTTGATGTGCTGCTAAATAAATAAAAGAAAACTCATTGAAGAGTTAATGCATTACTGCAATGAGAATTTCGGGGCAATGCATTGGATGAAAATAATGTCACAATGCAGCAAATCTTAATCATCACTACACAGGCGTAATAAAAAAAAAGTGACCTGGATATGTTCTTTTTGTGAGATTAATGGTATCATCTTGTAAGCGGCTGACACATGTGTCACATGTAGTTCTCGGAAACTTTGACATTCAACTTTCCAAAATTAGTTTTTCCAACTCCAGTCTGACTGTTCTTCTCTAGAGTTTGATTTTGGTGATGCTCCACATACAGGACATGTGATCTGTGACAAGAGAACGCCGTAGCGTATAGTGGATGAAGTAGATGTGAGGGGGATTTAGAGGTGAAGGATGCATCGGGAACCATGACAGTCAGTGATGTACAGATAAACAGGTTCCCTTTTCTAAACACACTGAAAGTGAGAGAGAGACAGAGAGCGGTTGAGGGAGGCGTAGAAGGGAGTGTTCAAACGTGTCCCACCCTTTCCTCTCTCTCTATTAGTTCTGCACACTGAAATCTCACCTCACAGCACCCAAACGTCCCAGCTCTATTACAGCAATCAAGCTTCTGGATTGAAGAACAGCCTTGACTCTCACAGATTCCCTCACCGGCGATCAGGATGTGGATGGTGCTGCTCGGACTCTGGTCAGGGTTACTGGCCTCATCCAGATCACAGTCTACCACAGGTGAGAAACCCATCAGAGGGGTCATGTCTCTGTATATTGACTATGAATGGAGCAGCGCTGTCTGAATACAGATCAACGGCTGCTGAAGAGAACAGGATCTGCTGGGCAGAAGCTCAGCATTTCCAGCAGAGAGCCAGAAGAGTTTAGGCTGTTGACAAACTGAGTTATAGAAAGATAGGCTAAGTAAATGAGAGAGAAATATAATGGTCTAGAATGTGTAATGTTGGTTCCAGATTATCCCTCACATGAAGCCTTTGAGCATCACTTTTGTGTTGTACCGCATGCAGGAAACGAAACCTCACGCCCCCTAAAAAAACTGTTTTCGCAAGACTCAATGGTTACTGTGGAAACATTTTTTTCTTAAGTATGTCACAACTTTAAGCCAACTGTTAAGTTGGATGGATGAATCTGTGCTTTGCTGCTGCGCTGTATTGTTTTATATCATTTATGTCTTTTTCACATCTTAAAGCACCTCTTATTTGTGACTGAACTGTTGAAATACCAATAAATACCTAAATGGAGAACCAAATAAAGCTAGTCAATCCCACAGTCACTCCGATTTACTTTGATCTCTCTCACTTTGTCTGGGTTTTTTGAGGTGTTTTGTGTAAAAACTCAGCATGATAGATGTCAAATTAAGACGTGTGTGTGTTTGTGTTGTGGGAATGATGAGAAACTCTTTGTTGGTTGGAGAGACATGCAACTGGGCAGCTGTAAATTTCAGCATTTCAAAAGAAAACCAGCGAGAGTCAGACGAGTTTCAACAGAATTAAAAGTGAATGAAAACCACTGTCCAGATTTTCCTGGTGTAAATATCCTCCTGTGAGCATCTCTGTGTGTAGCAGAGATGGACTGAGAGCTTGTTCCCAGCCCATTAAATGATTATCCATCTCCCTAGATACGAGTCTTCCTACATCCACACGCTAACCTTCATCCTCAGAAGAAAACAGGAAAGTGACCATTAGTCTTAGGCCATCGCCAACAAAATTGTAAGTGGTGGCTGTGGCTTTAAACTCTTGAACACAATGTAGTTCACAATGTAGAAATCCTGTTGTAGTCCTTACGTCACCCCTCACGTCACTTACTTGCTTTAGAGTGAGTCTTATGCTTTTTTTAGAAAAAGATCCTACTCCTACAAGAGTCTTAGTTCTTACTGAGAATTTTTGACACTCAAATCAGTTTAAGACTTAAAGTTTAAGACTATTCATAAGAGCATTTCTGAGAAGTTTCATACAAATGGCCCTTTTTTTTTTGTGTCATGGAAATCTATATTTTTGCAATATAATCCCTGTTTTTTTTGGCAAATCAACAAAAGTTGTGCAGGAAGATTCTTTAGAAATAAATATTTTAAATATTTTAAAAGCCCTGCAGCTGATTATAATTCTGAAAATAATTCTGAATGACTGACCTTTTCCGAAAAATTTAAAAGAATTTGCGGACTTTCTATCAGAATTAGTATTGGCTGCAGATAAAGTACTAATTGTTGGTGATTTTAATATACATGTAGATAGTGAAAAAGATGCATTGGGATTGGCATTTAAAGACATTGTAAACTCAATTGGAGTTAGACAACACGTGTCAGGACCTACTCATTGTCATAATCATACTCTAGATCTAATATTATCACATGGAATAGATGTTGATGCCGTTGAAATTCTGCAGCAGAGCGATGACATCTCAGATCATTATCTAGTCTCATGTAAATTACATTTAGCCAAAGTAGCAAAGCCGACTCCGTGTTATAATGTTAGACCTAGGGATGAACAATTATGGAAAATAATTGAATTGCGATTTTTTTTTAACAATATTGCGATTGCGATTTAATATGCGATTACTTTTTAAGTTCTTTATCGTCTGTATTAGTCGACAAAGACAAGCAATAAATCGTAGGGATGGGAATCTTTAGGCAGCTCTTGATCCGATCTACTTTTTTTCTTATTAATTAATCTTAATAACACTTAAAATATGTATTTAATTACATGTGTAAAAATACATACTTAAAAAAAAAATATATAAAAAAACATTTAATTAAACCAATTACATGTTAAAGTCCCCGTGAACCGGAAGTTGCAAACGACTTTTCTCCAGTGTTGTGATGTATTTCCGAGAGAAACGGAATACTAAATGAGGCAAAATAGTGGGCGTGGCTTTTTTTCCAACTAGCACCTGATTGGATCTAGAAAAGTAGGTGTTGTCATTCAGCCTGTCTACTGTCAGTTGGAGGGGCATGGTTACGGATGTTAAGCAGACACCCAAACCGCAGAGGGGAGGGGAAATTTCAGATTTTGATTAAAGATTATGAAGCCAAAAAATGTTTTTGTGTGGATTCACTTGCATGGATGAATTGTTCACCACAAAACGATCAATTTAGGCAAACAAAGTAAGTATGGTCAATTTTGAATTCATGGGGACTTTAAGAATTTTAAATAGGCTATATAAACTAATATAGCTTCAAAATATAAAAGCTAGTAAATAAAGAGGAACAAAAAAAAAGCATTACAAGCAATAAACAAAGAGTGCTTTCAGTATTTAAAAGTTGGCTGTCTGAACGTTTTTCATTCAAGAGCTGGAGTGATTCCCCCCCCCCTCAGTTTAGAGACGATAAGCTGCATTCACACTAATGCACATATCTCTTTTGAAATTGTAAATGTGGTTTGTCCTGTTGGTTTAAGATATAACTGACCGTGTTTACATTAATTTCGCGTCATAAAAGCATTTTGAGATGCAAGTGCATTTAACCAATGAGTCGCTCACAGCCGCATGCACGAGCGCTCTTCAAAAAGCGCGCTTAAGTATTTTAAAATGAAAGCAGCCTTCTCAGTGATTTTCATATTTTTAATATATAAGCCAACTGCATTCCAAAAGACATAAATAATGCCTTCGTGGAGCATTTGTAAGGAAAATTCCGGCGGCCAAGACCGCGCACTGCAAGAGTAACGTTATAACATAAAGCAAAGCGTCACAAGCTGTGCAATGAAGCCCGCGAATGTCCTTGTAATTCGGTTAAACCCCGAACTTTATGAAATATTATTTTTCGGAAGGTTCGAGCGGTGTCGTGTGTGTGTGTGTGTGTGTGTGAGAGAGAAATTAGAAGCAAGCAGAATACGGTTGTTTCTAAAGCACGCGCAGCGTCATCACGCATCTGTGTTTAAAAACTAAGCTCAGACTCGATTCTGAAATTCTCTGAATCGATCCAGAATAGTTGGAGAGAGAATAAATAACACAATATCACATACATTAAAAATAAACTGTTCTTTCCTGTATGCTAGACCTATATGCGTAGCGTGCCAAGTTGATGCTTGATCTTGCAGACTGCTTTTCTCTCGCGTGTATTTCCTGTTAATTAATTTAGATAGTCAAATTACAGCTGAGCTCACCTTGTTGTTAACGCTGGGAAGCGTTCTACTTCTCTACAGAGAAAGGAACACTACGGAGACCATATCATACCCAAAGGGGAGGTTATTATGTGGAAAATACATCCTATGGACTTACCAATGGGTAGTAATACTTGGGGAATAGCCTCTGTGGAGTGCTCCAACTTCTAGGGGGAGAGACTATCACACAGTAAACTCTCAGCTTTGTAGGCCAAGAAAATGGCATCCACAATCCAGTGGGCTTTGCTTGGAGAGAGCCTTCCCCTTCTGCTGTCCTCCAAAACAGACAAAGAGCTGATCTGATCTTCTAAAGCTCTGTGTGTGATCCAGGAAAATGTGCAAAGCTCCTGCCCATAAAAAATTAAAGGTCCATCCAAGGGCTGAATGTGATGTGTGGCCATGCCCATCTCAGAACTCGGTCATGAAGCCAATGCTGAGGCATATGCATCAACTCAGGCCGCATTATCCCGGCCAAGGATGCCAAATCCCCCAGAAATAATTTGAAACAGGCCGAACGACGAGGTAACAAATTCAAGCAGTTCAGCACTGAACAAGCAAGATCTTCTGAAAGACGTGTTGTCATTTAGACCGAGTTCAACTCCACAGAGAGGAAAGAGAAGAGATACTCTGCACAGCGGGAGAGCTTGCTCTCCTCCCAGTTGATCTGAAGTCTTTATCAGGCTAGGTGCTCGAGGACCATGTCCCTGTGTGCACACAACAACTCTCGAGAATGAACTAGAATTAGCTAGTCGTCGAGGTAGTTAAGGATGCGAATGCCCACTTCCCTCAATGGGGCAAGGGCACACTATAGAAACAGCCTGTACCGAGGAAGGATCCAGACATGGAAGTAAGCGTCCTTCAGGTCTATTGCTGTGAAGTGTCATGGGGCGGGGTTGCTGCGGCGTTGAGGAACAAGGCTAACCACGCCGGGAGACCTTGTGTCCATTCATGTTCATGGTGCAAAATGTGCTGAAGCACTTGCATTGTTCCGGGGGTCCACTGTGGATGAGGGCTGTGACTGCCGAGGAAGATGGCCACGTCATGGCTCGTCACAACTGACTGATCCTGAGAGCGAACATGGTGCAAAAGAACGTGAGGAGGCTAAGCGTCAGTGTCCATACAGGCTCTGTTGCCAGTGTTCAATGCCTGGTAGTTGTGCGGGCCCCTCCATCAGGAGAAAGGCTTGTCCCCAATCCTGGGGCGATCAGGTCAGGTGCGTTTTGAAGCCTTACTTTTAAAGCCAATTCTATGGGCATTTTCTGAATACATAAGAGGTGATTGGGGCTTTAAAGAGTGACCTCTAGTGTCGGTTTTAAACACAATGCCGAAAGTGACCGATAGAAAGGGAACCATGAGTTTAACATTGCTATAGCAATTCACAACTAGTCGTGAACAAATAGAAACTAATTGTTCATCTGATAAATGAAGTAATGTGATCATAAATGTAATTTTATTATTAAAAAAGTAAATGAAATGTAATAATGCACATCTTAAAAAATGTAGTCCATTTTGTAGTTTTATTACCCAAAACTGTGTACAATACAATATACTGTGTAATGACTTGTTTAATAAATAAGCAGGGTTTTGCACTATTCTTTCCCCCACAAAGTTTCCCAAAGTATTTTTTTATAAAACTCATTTGCTCTTAAATACATTTTTAGTTAAATTTATTAATTTTAAACCATGGCTACCACTTCACCACCATCTTAACTGGTGTCCCGAAAAGTTCACCGGGCGAGATCAAGGCACCACGGAGGAAGTTCTGACCACTCTCCTTAATGCCCTACAGATTCAAACACAAATTCCTCTCCATCGCCAGGCAAGATGGGAGCCTTCAGTGAGGATCCCAACCCAGGGGAGAGATAGCCAGCGAGGTTCTCTTCTACCCGGGGCATCCTCACATATGCCTAAATATTTCGAATGTGCTGAGGTAACTACACTAGCAGAATAAGGATTCCTCCACAAGCCTGACACCTCAGTGTGCAGGTCCAGGAGAAATGTAAGGCTCACTGGAGAGGAATGCTTATAATACAACAGGATCGCTTATCCAAACAACCATGAGCGACATCCTGCTTTACACCAGACCAGTTATAAATCTTCATATCATGGAGAAGGGGGACTAGCTTATGGTGGAGAAGGGGGACTAGCTTATGGTGGAGAAGGGGGACTAGCTTATGGTGGAGAAGGGGGACTAGCTTGTAATATCCATCTCAACTGCCTCCACATCTAGTTCCTCAGAACAGAAGTAGATGCCAATAGCATGCAGAGCAGACTTCCAGATCTGGAAGCAGAGCCTCAGGGATAGCAGACAAAGTCCACGAAAGAGAAACCCCCTTGAGCTCTACAGCCAGCAAGAGCCAAGCGGGACCCGAGCTTCTTCACTGTGAACATGCCACAACAACACAGATTATAAATTCATTATGAAGGGTTAGCACGGCAATGCACGCAGTCTGAATTGCTACTTTGTGCTTGCCATTATTCCTTTCCTCTTTTTGTTTTGGCGAGACACACACACTTCACAGACAGCACACAGACAAAGCTTCTTCCAGAAGACAACACAACTGATGATGTGTAATGCAATCGCTCTTTTACACGTATGGCTGCTCCATGTGACGTCATAGCACTACCGTCAGCCAGTGGGATTGGTGTGATTTCACATGTGCTTCAGACACCAGGTTCCCCACAGCGTCAACATCTGACGGGGGAGGAGAATTTATGCGCGTGTCAGGTTTCTCAACAAGAAAGCCTTCCCGCTAGGATACACCAAGGGGGTAATCCATCGACCGGAAGTTGAAGCCGGCCGGGTGCCGCCATCTTGTAGCAGAACTTCACTTGCGTTAGCATTTCCATTGACTCCCATTCATTTTGGCGTCACTTTGACAGTGAATAACTTTACATCTGAGGCGTTTAAAGACTCCATTTGTCCATTATTTATTTCTAAAGAAACACGACAATGTAGAAAGGGCTCCATTACCTTCTATGTTACAGTATGGCCCCGTAGAAACAGATTTAGTAAAAATAGGCTAACGATTGCGTCATAACCACTCGACTCTCTGTCGCGCTGTACAGAAATGACCTTACAGACAGGAGGAGAAGCTCGCAGGCAATCGGGGGGACGTCCCGTCAAGGGAGAAGCCCATAGATAATGAGTCCATAAAAGCAACGGAATACTTACTCCTGCTCGCTCACGATAAAGGACTCTTTGCTCAAGTTTCCCGTCTCTGCAAGATTAATGTTGGCAATTTTCACGCACAGCTACTAGAAGAGTAACGTCTGTCAGACAGGTTGCTCACGTCATCAAGCTTAGTTTCGCTAAAAATGGGCTTCAACTGTCTCAACTGAGTTCCAATGAGATGGCTCTGTCCACTTCTTATACTGTCTATGGGATACACCTGTGCATCTTTGCTCATCGCCTCTCTTGAAGCTTCCTCACATTGTTCCTCGCCTCCTCGAGATGCCACAAATTGAGATATTCTTCAAGATGGCTTTGTTTGATTGGTTTTCCGGGTCACAGGCTGGAGAACGGAGGAGCGAGGAAACGAGGAAGCCTCATTTTGAGTATTGAAAAGCGTTCTTCTACTTAACATTTCATTGTTTATTTCCTGGTTTGTTCCCATGGTTATACACTATGGTCAACTCAGTGTCTTTAGTTCCTCATTATTCTGTGCAATTATCACCCTGTGTTTAATGTGTGTCATGTGTTGGTTTTTGTTTTAACCTTTAAACTGTTATGCCTTATTTTTTTTCTGGAATGTCTTCATCTTGTATTGTTTGAATAAATCAGCCTGTGATTAGATCCCTGACTCGATTACTCCATCCACCCAGCACCGTAACATCTAGACTTGAACAGATAAATGTGAAGGGTTACAGTATTAATTGGTCCCAAAGCTCTTGACCTTTCTGTAGGTCTCAGTGTTGTCAGCTCCATTCCCTGTTTAGATTCATGCTTTAAACCTCTGGCCTCTCTTAGTGTTTTCTTTCTCCCTTTGTCTGTTATGCTTTTCAGAAATGCTTGTGTTCTAGAATGGCACTATGTAAATATAATTCATTTATTTCTATCATTTCTCCTCTGTTTGTCTTTCAGCGGTGCGTGCGCGGAGCTGCAGCTATGTTGGAGTGTTTCATGTAGAGGGGAAAGAACGCTATAGTCTGACGTTTGAGATGGCCAAGAGCTTGTGCGAGGATTTATCGTCTACATTAGCCAATATGATGCAGGTGGAGGAAGCCTATAAAGCAGGACTACAGACATGCAGGTAAAACATCACCTGAGTTCTTCCATTCAACTGAATATCACCTAATGACTTCCATCAAACTAAATACAGATATGCATTTTCTCTGCAGGTATGGCTGGGTAAACAGCACAGAGCTGGTGATCCTCCGTCACAAGGCAAATCATCTCTGTGCTGGCAACCAAACTGGCATCATCAAGAAGGTTCAAGACAAGAAGAAATACGACGCCTTCTGTTACGATGCTAAAGGTTTGATTTGTGCAACATGGTGTATTTTTTGGTCAATGCATGATCAACTATCTTTTTAACAAAACATTATATTTTAAACAGATTTGTCAGTGAAGAACTGTACAGCTGAGATCAACCCTGAAAGTTCAAAAAAAGCAGATGCCAACCCTGTCACAGCATCTACAAGTATAAACACAGGTATGTGAAGAGACAAGAAGAAATACGACGCCTTCTGTTACGATGCTAAAGGTTTGATTTGTGCAACATGGTGTATTTTTTGGTCAATGCATGATCAACTATCTTTTTAACAAAACATTATATTTTAAACAGATTTGTCAGTGAAGAACTGTACAGCTGAGATTAACCCTGAAAGTTCAAAAAAAGCAGATGCCAACCCTGTCACAGCATCTACAAGTATAAACACAGGTATGAACGCCTTTTAAATTCATACATTTAGAATGAAGACACTTTTATATGAAAGATCTTGTAGTGTAATATCCCGTTAACTGTTTTTAGCTTTTCCCCTTATTACATGTTTTGTAAATCATCATAAGTTAGGTCACTGATTCTTGAGAGTCGTGACAAAACACGTTTTAAAAAACGTAAAAAAAAATACACACTATATCAATTAGAGTTGTATGTTTCTGCAGAGAAAGGTACCATGTAAAGGAACAGGTTCTAAATAAAAACACATTTTTAACAAATAAACATGTTTCCCTTCAGAACTGGATTTGTGTCAACTCCGTCAGACACACTAAAAAGTATACAATTTTAATTCTTCCAATCCAACAAGAATCTAAAGTTCTGAAGTATATTTTAATAGTGTTTAGTTACTCTGATATGTAAAAAAAAAAATACAATATATAAACTTAAGTTGTGATTTCACACTATTCTGAAAACTCAGATTTCTAAATATTTGCATTTTCAAACTTTGATTTTAATTTCAATATTGTAAAAACAAATTCCTTAAATAAATAAAACATAAGAAGATCAGATGGTCCTTTATTACAAAAACAACATAAACTGAAGGAAGAACATTTTTTCCCCAAAAAATTAACAAAAACATACATCCAACGCTGTTGATGAAGATATGACGGTGTTGATGAAGATCTGATGGTGTTGATGAAGATCTGACGGTGTTGATGAAGATCTGATGGTGTTGATGAAGATCTGACGGTGTTGATGAAGATCTGATGGTGTTGATGAAGATCTGATGGTGTTGATGAAGATCTGATGGTGTTGACAAAAAATATGTGTGCATTGTGATGTGCTCAGATGTGCTCTTTAAATTACTACTAAAACTACTCCTTGTTATTAGAGTATTGAACTTACTGTAAAGCAAACTATAATAAACATATTGCACATACACCGTTTCCAACTATTATAAATTACACTGTTTCCAACTATCAAAAAAAACAAAACAATAAGGGAAACCAGGGGCCCTCCTCCCCCTCTGTTTTCATCTACCTCCCCTATACCACTTCCTGCTCTACTTTTTCTCATCCACCTCTTCTCCTCTTCCTTTCCTCCTTTGTAAGTAGCCATTTACTTTAAAGTGGTGTGTGTGTGTGTGTGTGTGTGTTGGATGTGTGATTTCCCTGCACTGCCTACTTTATACTGGGTGTGATCTTAAATTGACATTCCTTGACAACAATACTGCAACACATAATCTGCAGCATAGAATCAGGTTCAATTAGCTTACTTAAGATTTCATTTTTGTCTAACCTGCGCTTATGCCTTGAGCAGCAGGCGTCGGACATGCGTATGGTTAAATAATGTAATGCATGCTATGTATGTGCATTTATGTGTAAATAAAACCCTGAAATAACAGTTTAACCCTTCACTTTATTCACAAATAATGTTATATTCGCACATTAAGCGGTTATTGGTGGATTTGTCAACATAGAACCTGACGGAGTTGACGTAAGGGCATGTATTTTCCCGCCAAAACATGTATTGTACACTGCAGCTAGGTAGTTTTTCCTCAGTTGCTAGCTGTCCCAATAACCTCACTAAAATGCTTAAATTCAATCCACTATAGTTTAAAAAAAGTATCTTAACAGAAAGATGGTATTGACATGGTGCAGCTGTGACCATAGGAATATTGACATTGTTTGTCTAAAATATAAAAAAATGTCAAACGTACCAGAGCATGTGTGGTAGTGCTGCATTCACCACAGACAGGGAGATGAAAAGGGGTCCTCAAGGATATAGCTGACCATGCTATTTCCTGATTTAAAGAGCTTTATGAAAAAATATGACGGAGTTGACAGAAACTGAGGACACAACTTTAATAGGCAGATATTTATGGAAAATATTGTTTGATGTTCACTTCATGCATAGTTTTTTTATATTTATACCCCTTATTTTTTATTTGATATATATGTTTTCACAATTGTAGAGCTTTTTTAAAGTTTTTTGGGATGGTTAATATTGTAACCTCTTGCTGAGGACAAGTGCAATAACATGGACCATCTAACCACAGACCATACAATTAAAACTTTTCCCCAAAAAGATAAAAAAGTTTATTCTAAAAATCAGATAGGTATATACAATTCCTTTAGATTTAACTTTGTAAGTATGTCATACATGATGAATTTCTGATGAATAAATTAGACTTTTCTATGTGGGACATGTTTTGTCCCGACTCTCGAGAATCAGTGAGGTATTATTAGTAAGCTTTAACACTTAAATTCATCCTGTGAAAACCATTTTGTTAGTTGACATGTAGTTACAAAGTTACTTATAGTTAGTTGAATCCATTGAAATAAAGTGTTACTGTTGTTTTGTTTGGCATAATTTTAATAAAGTGATAAGCTGCAGTACTTTTTTGGCATATTCAACATTGATAAAGCATGAGTGACATTAAATATACATACACAAAATAATATGAAAATAATATCAAAGTAAATATTTGAATAAGTAATGACATTTGTTTGTGGCGTTGTGTGTTATTTATTGTGCACTGGATGGTGCTGTCCTGCAACAAGATCACAGAACATCTCATATTTCTGCAGTTAATAACACTAGTTGTCTAATTAAATCTGAGTAAATATCTTACTGACAGCAGGTTGAAATCTTTTCAAAAAAGGACCAATCAATGTTTGGTGTGTATATACAAAATTCTGCATAATTGTAATTTTACAGAAGTCACAACACGCCAACACAATGCTGAAGCGGAAGAGAGTGAAACTTCAACATCTGAGGCTTTGGGAGATACATCAGTGTCTACTCCAGGTCACTGGACACAGACCAGTGGCCCACGGAGCCCAGTGGAGCACAATGAGACCGACCAGACGCATGATACAGACTATACAGAGAATACAGAGGAGTCCACAACCTTACTACCTAATGCAGACACCACAGGGATGGCAATGGATGAGAGAACATCCAGGCATGAAACAACAACAACTAATAAAACAGGTGAAATTTCATTCTTGAAATGGTTCTTCTGTTGAATCACTGTGAAACCTCTCATTTTGAACCTTTTTATAAGAATTGTTACAGTATATGATTTCTGACGTGCTGTAATGTGTGCTTCTGTCTCCATTACTCCAGGACATGTCAGCCCAAACAACAGTCCTCCAGGATCACATACGACCAGATCATCAGGTTAGAAAGCCTCTTTATAATATAAATCATGGCCAATTCATTTGTATTTATTTTGAGACTGCTATTTTCATTTACACTGTCCTGCAGAATTTAGTTCCAATCCCAGTTTGCAAGCAGTTCTGAGCGCTTGATCAGCTTGTTTCAGTGTTCAGTTAGAGAGTCAGGGCTGAACTCAGCAGGACTGGAGCTGGAGCTGGTCTTGGGGTCTGATCCCTACGGTGGCCCAGAGAGCTCAACGCGCCGCAACTGAAGAAAACACATGCAAATAGAAAAAACACCTGCAAATTAAGAAAACATCTTTATCAGTTTTACAGCAACATGTGTTGCCAAGGCAACAGTGGCAAGGAACCAAAACTCCATCAGGGACAGAATGGTATTTGTGTGGGGAAGTGTTCCCGGTTCCGGCTGACCTAATCTATGCAGCCTAACATTGAAGTATAGAAGTCGATAATGTATTATGTGTATGCTAGGTCAAAGAGATGTGTTTTTAGTCTAGCTTTGAACTGACAGAGTGTGTCTGCTTCCCGGACAATGGTAGGAAGACTGTTCCAAAGTTTTGGTGCTAAATAGGAAAAGGATCTCCCGCCAGCAGTCGATTTAGATATTCTAGGTATTATCAACTGGCCAGAGTTTTGAGAACGCAATAGACGTGAAGGACTATAATGCGTTAAGAGCTCGCTCAAGTACTGCGGAGCTAAACCATTTAGTGCTTTGTAAGTAATCACAATATTTTAAAATTTATACAATGTATACGATGTTTAATAGGCAGCCAATGCAGTGTTGACAGAACCGGGCTAATATGGTCATATTTCCTGGTTCTGGTAAGAACTCGAGGCTGCAGCGTTTTGAACTAGCTGTAGTTTGTTTATTAAGCGTGCAGGGCAACCACCCAGTAGAGCATTACAATAATCTAGCCTTGAGGTCATGAACGCATGGACTAATTGTTCTGCATTTTTCATTGAGAGCATATGACGTAATTTAGATATATTTTTAAGATGAAAAAATGCGGTTTTACAGATCTTAGAAACGTGGGTTTCAAATGAAAGATTGGTATCAAAGAGCACACCCATACACACACACACCCAGGTTCCTAACCGACGACGAAGACTAAACAGACTTTCTCTGTTTTTTGAGAATTAAGTAGTAGGATGTTGCTAGTCATCCAGTTTTTTATATCAGCTATGCATTCCGTTAATTTTGTGAATTGGTAAGTTTCGTCGGGTCGTGAAGAAATATAGAGCTGAGTATCATCGGCATAACAGTGAAAACTAATGGCATGCTTCCTAATGGTGCGTTCACACCAGACACGAATAGAGCATCTGGCACGAGTGATTTCAATGTTAAGTCAATGCAAAGACGCGTTACGCGTGTAAAAAATTCCTGTGGCGCGAATGAGGCGTAGAGCGAAGCCACGAATACGGAAGCCACGAATACGCCTCATTCATGCATTAAGCGTGAATGTGCTTTTTGTGCATTTACGCCTTTGACACGAATTCACGTCTGCCGCCCGAGTTGAACAATTTGAACTTTGGCGTCAATTCGAGCCGCGTTAACCAATCAGGAGCCTGCTTGCTGCTGTCACGTGGTGAAGTGACGTGATAAACGGGGAGAGGCCTTTTCAGTTTATAACGTTATTTTATATGTTTGGCCTCAATAACTTATTTTGTAATATGACAATGCCTGGTGTGGTTCTATGCACAACAAAGCAAATATTTTATCACATAAAAACTTGATTTAAATATATGAGACATATTAATTTTGTATTGAATGCTATTTTTTCCGTATCTAATCTAGATTATAAACAACATTATTTTAATGTAAAGACAACCAACATACTTTAATGCATAAAAACATAATAGTCGTGTCTGGACAGTGTTGTGTGAGAGAGAGAAATCACAGGACAGGTTAATCACTTTTGGAGGCTGGCTCAATTTATCATCAAAACAAAAAAAAATGACAGATTAGGTGAGTGAGGGCGAGGGTGATCCTCGCTCCGATGCGGGACAACAGGTCATCAAACTGGGCACGGGACAGGCGGAAGTACCGCTGACAGCGGCCGTCATCCAGGCGGAGCTCCTGGAGCAAATGGTGAAACTCGCCAAACTGGGTTTGCCTCCGAAGGGTCCGGTGGACCCAAATATGGCGACGATGACCCCTACGCCGCCGTTCTGCTCTCCATAGTGAATACAGAGCGGTGACTCTCGATGAATGTCGATCAACATAGCCATCTTGTAAAAAGATGGCCGCCAACGGAGTTCGCCTCCGATGCGCGTAAATTTCGCTTCATACTTTTGTTTTTTACACGCGTCAATTTCGCTCTTGACGTGCGAATGGATTCAAAGTGTTCAACCGTATAACTAGACGCGGTAGGCACAAATTTGACGCGCTATTCGCGTCTGGTGTGAATGCACATTAATGATATCTCCTAATGGTAGCATGTACAGAGTGAACAGCAGCGGTCCTAGTACTGAGCCTTGTGGTACGCCATACTGAACTTGTGATCGATAAGACATATCTTCATTTACTGCTACAAACTGATAACGGTCAGATGTATGATTTAAACCAAGCTAGTGCAACTCCACTAATGCCAACATAATTTTCGAGTCTATTTAAAAGAATGTTGTGGTCGATGGTGTCAAATGCAGCACTAAGATCGAGTAACACTAATAGAGAGATACAACCATGACCGGATGATAAGAGAAAATCATTTGTAACTCTAACGAGAGCTGTCTCAGTACTATGGTACGGTCTGAATCCGGACTGGAAATCCTCCAGATATAATTTCTTTCTAAAAAGGAACACAGTTGTGAGGATACTGCTTTTTCTAGTATCTTTGATAGAAAAGGCAGATTCGAGATCGGCCTGTAATTGACTAATTCTGTATGATCAAGTTGTGGTTTTTTAACAAGCGGTTTAATCATAGCCAGCTTAAAGGTTTTTGGTACGAATCCTAGAGACAAAGATGAATTAATGATATTAAGAAGAGGATCTATGACCTCTGGAAACATCTCTTTCAGTAGCTTAGTCGGTATAGGGTCTAACATACAAGTTGTCGATTTAGATGAATTAACGAGTTTAAAAAAATTCTTCCTCTCCTATAGTAATGAATGAATCGAATTTTTCCTCAGGGAGACTACAATGCACTGTCTGATGCGATACTGTGGTAGACGGTTGCATAGTTATAATTTTGTCCCTGATATTATCGATCTTATAAGTGAAGAAGTTCATAAAGTCATTACTGCCGTGTTACTTTGACACTTCTGGGTTTGAAGCTTTATTTTTCATTAGTTTATCCAATGTTTCAAATAAATACCTAGGATTATGTTTATTTTCTTCTAATAGGGTTGAAAAATAAGCAGATCTAGCAGCTTTTAAAGCCTCTCTGTAAGCAATCGAGCTCTCTTTCCATGAAATCCGAAATACCTCTAGTTTAGTTTTCTTCCAGTTGCGCTCCATTTTTCTGGCTGCTCTCTTAAGACATGTTTGAATACAAATGAGAAAAGAAGTTAACAATGACCTAAAAAAAAATAAAGAAAAAGAACATGAGGGTAAGATAATCTATACATCAGTTACATTGTACACATTTTGTCATGTTATGTTTAAATAAGTTAAATAAGAAATGTTAGGTAATGCAGGGTCCAAAGATGAGAAGGCAAGTTTTAAAGTTAAATAAATGTATAAAAGTATATTATTTGCAACAGTTGTTAACAGTAATAATAAGAAATTTCTGTCGTAATAACAGCTCTTCAGCTGATGGACAGCGTACTGCGTTGTCATGGCAACATCCCAGGTGAAAATAATCAGGAAATTACGTTGTCTTTCGTTGTTCCCTTCATCAAGTGCATTGCAAATGGCCCACAAGTGCCCTTCTCACCCCAACGTCCCACTACAGGGGCTCAGCCGTCTGCCCTTCGAAGGGAGTAGGGCATAGGGTGCTCACGAGCTGTAAGCGTGTCCCAGCCGGGTTCGTCACTTATTGGGTCCCCTGGAAACCATTGAGGTCTGTATTATTTGCGGCGCGTTTCTGTATTTGGTTGTGTTGTGAGTATTTGGAGCACACATGTGTTGTGAAACTGATAAAGATGTTTTCTCTATTTGCATGTGTTTTCTTCAGTTGCAGTGTGTTGAGCTCTCTGGGCCACCGTAGATCTCCATCCCTAAAGGATGGGGAAAGTGAATGGTTGTTATTTTCAAAGTACATGTGCAGTCTTAATACTACACATTTTTAACAGTATTTTTCTGAATTAACATATAATATAATTTCAACCACCACTGAAACACTCTATATTATTGACATGAGCTGGTTTAGTAATGCATGTAAAACCAAAGGCCTTGACAGAAATCGGAACACATTCCTAGTCAAGAAGAGTCTCATGATTGTGGAAGTGGGATTTTATCCCTATGAATACATTTGCAATACAGTGCCTTGGATTTCCCCCCATAATGTTTTATGACTGAGAACCAACCAAAGAGCACCTTCTGGAATATCTGTTTCCTTCCAGCAAGCAATGCTCCAAGAAATCTCACTCTTAATCTGATTACTTGCTGACAGCAGACAAACAAGTTATTTCCAAGTTGTTTTCCTCACATATTTGAGAAGCCTCAAAAGGGAAAAGCATAAATACTGTATATATATTTTGTCATGTGAGGTCTCATCGCTCAAAGTCATTATGTCATGACCGAAATTATGTAAACAGTTTGTTTGAAATAACATGTAATTTGTTATAATCCTTTTACAGACTTGCTGATCATTTTACTTACGATCTTGGCAGTTCTCCTCATTCTGCTTATCTGTATCATTGTAGCAACCAGAAAAAGGTACGTCTTTTTTAATGGAGATATTACAAATAAATATCTATTAAAATACTATAGAAACATATCTGTCACAATACCCACACCTGTGGTTTTTGTACTATTTGTGTTATGTGTTTCTGGGAGTTTTGGCCACCGTGTGCAAGTGTGTACTTTGAGTGTGTGTAGAACATTTGAGCGGTCATAAAAACTTAATAGCAACTGATTTGGCAACTTTGTCTTTACGTCCAACTGGTTAAGAAACCATACTCGTATACAGTGTGCAAATTAACACTGAAATAATACGTCATGAACTGTGGTCTACACTAAGCAGCACTAGGGTTAGTGTTGATATTCGTCAGTCCTGGGACATGTGCTCTCAAGTGGGTGCAAGAGTGGGTATTTGACAGGCCCGAAATGTCTTTAAATCAAGTGCACGTAAAGATCAGTGCTCCAAAAGAATAAATGGACAGTAGTGTCAAGAACCTGATTTGAAAGAAATAAATAGAAAAATAAACAAGAAAATGTTTGGCTTGATAACTTTAAAACTACTGTATTTCTTAAAAAAATAAATTACTGGCAGCTATTTTCTTAAGTTAATTGGGTTTAACTGAATGTGCATATTTTATTTACCCACAGATGTTGTGGCAAGAAAAAGACTCTGATTATCACAAAGAAGAGCAGCAGTAAAGAGAACGGTGCGTCAGCGTCATTCGCTCAGGAGCCGGAGACGGTCACACTCGTCCACTGAACAGATCACGAGGAACAGCAACATCAATCTGGATAACCGAGAAAACATTAGAAAACATGACCAGAGAAAGCGACCTGGGAATGAAAACGAAAATAAGAGGCCTTGAGACTGAGATTTGAAATAAATCAAGGATTTAAGGATCAGATCTGAGTGCTTAAGAACCGCTGGCTGTATTTGTGTGCGCGCGTGTGTATTCAGTTTATATTTCAGTATTAATTGATGTTTAATTTTACACTAGTATATTTGTAATGAAGTAGTTTTTTTCAGTGGCTTTGCCTGGTATAATTACACTGGAGAAATCAGTGCTGGTCAGAAGAAAGACAAGATGAAAGATTGTTCAGTAAACTCGGGTGTTACCATCACTTAGTCTCCTGCTTTCTGCTCTTCTGCAAACCCAAGATAAGCCAGAGATTACATGACAATGAGTTGACTTTGAACGACAGATATTGGCTAAATCTTTTTTCTGACAGACAGACAGACAGAGAGAGAGAGAGAGAGAGAGAGAGAGAGAGAGAGAGAGAGAGAGAGAGAGAGAGAGAGAGAAGACCTCCAGGTGTGACGATTGTCTGAAGCCTGTAGAGCAGAGCTGGTAACTCTGGCCCTCGAGGGCCGCTGTCCTGCAGAGTTCAGATCCAAGCCTGATCACACACACCTGAACAAGCTGATCGAGGTCTTCAGGGTCGCTGGAAACATACAAGCAGGTGAGTGTGTTCAGGGCTGGAGCTAAACTCTGCAGGACAGTGGATCTCAAGGGCCAGAGTCGCCCTGGATAAATCCCAGCAGTTGATTGGCTGATTCACGTCACTGGAGCCTCCCCGTCAGGAAGACAGTATCTGCCCGTCATATCTTTGGAGTTTTGTTGTGTCAGTGACTCTGGGTTAACTGTTTTTGCACATAGCACTGGTGCTACAGAGATTGAAATATTTGTAACACAGACCACACAAAATCAAATTCCTGAAAACAACCAAAAGTAGTGCAGGTCATCACTTAAACAGGCATTCCTGCTGAAAAATCCAGCATTGGTGTGTTTTGCACACACAAAAAAGGATCCCAGCATGGGATTTTTACACATGTGACTTTCCAAAGGAGCATGAAAGTCTTTAAAAACAGCAATTTTAGATTTTGAACTTTCATTATCAAGTTGTTATTAACTGAAAGAGCTCTTCTCTTAACATCTCTAATTGAACAAACATAATTTGAAATACATTTATTGTATGCTAAGTATTCTATAAATACATTTACATATTCATGTACTTAATATAAATACCCTGCAATTGTACTGTTGGTATAGTAAACTGGTATACTTAAAGTCTGCTAAATTGGAACAACTAATTTTGTACTAAATGCACTTGTGTGCATATGTGTGGGTAGTTTTTTGTTGTGTGTTTGTGTTTCAGAATTTCAGTCTTCAATCTTCATTAAGGAAGATGACGAGCCGGTTCACACTGTCAATCACATTACGCCGGCTTCTTCAAACACCCGTATCTCCTCCACGTCTCCAGCTTCTTGCTCACTTTGCTGGTGCTTGTTCACTTTAGCTTGTTGTTGCTGTTGTACATTGCTGTTGCAAGAGTCCTTCTATACTGTGTGTGTTTATTCTTTGATTGAAACGTTTGTCACATTGTGGTACTAAAGTGTATTGTTCTCATATCGTTCTATCTTCTTCAGTCATCACGTTGTGTGTGAGGCTGGGAAGGAGGGAGCGGGGAAGTAAGTGGCGCGACATACATTGCGCACCACATAGGAAATCCTGTTTGTATGAAACATACTAATTTTAGGAGAGAGTGCCACACCCTGTAGTTCTGTTATCTGGTTAGTCAGCGTAGTTTAGTTTGGCCGTCTTGACACTGAAGACTTTTCTTTTCTACATTTTTCTTTTGGTAGTTAGCTTAGCTGATTAAACCCAGTTAGCTTTGTTTTGTTTTATTTATTTATTTGATTTGGCATCTCTCGAGCTCGCCTTCCCACCTTGTTTTTGTATTGTTATTGTGCTATTTGTTCCTGTGTAACATCTTTATTTAATGTTATACTCCCTTTTTCTAGCCAAACATAAATAAATCTAAGGGACGTAACAAATGTACAGATGTTTTTGAAATAGGAGACACTTCATTTGATCCTTTGAAACATTTTACAAGTTGAATTTGTCTTTATTTAAAACTTCGGATGACATTGCTTAATAATGTAATCATAACTACAACAAATTCAAATTTCCAGGTCTACATTCAACAGGGAGCAAAAGAAATGACAAAATTATAAATATATATTACAATACATTATATGTTCTAATCTCATATCGTTATGCATTCACATCATTAATATGTTACATATAGAAATTTCCCCAAAACATTGCTTGGATATAGACAGCTGGCCTGTACTCACTCAACACTACAAGACCAGCTTCAACACCAGCTCCGGTTTTCTTGAGCATGACTATGCTGGTTCTCCTGCTACACCAGCACTTTATCAGCACCAACCAGCATAAACCAGGTTGGACCAGCATAGAATTCATGCTGGTTTATGCTGCACATTTCAGTAAGAATGTGACTGACAAAGGAAATTATTTTCCATACAGGGCCCACAAAGTCCAAAACCTAACAAGAAATATCTTCAGACAAACATTTTCTTTAGGAGGAATACAAAACTTCTTGCTTAAAGGTAGGGTAGCAATTTCGAAGTGGCTTGCAATAGCAATGAGCAGATTCAGCAAAGCTCCATAAGAGACAGCATTAAATTACCTCATGTCTCAGAGCACATAATATTACAATACAAATGAAAGTAAACAAATTAAAGAGCTCTTACTTGTACCACCTGACTGCTGCAGATTCATTTCTGCATTGGTAGAGTTGACAAAGAAATGCATAAATATGCCCTGAACGTTCGTGGTTGCATGACTGAGATGCATGAATAGGTAACAAAGTCGTGGAAGACACCTTTTACTGCCCGAAGCCGCTTTGCTGGTGGGCCAAGGGGTACGCGGAGATTCCTCAGGTGGAGTGTGCAATTGCGGTGCATTTATTTCTGGCTGAACCTGGCTAATATGAAGGATTCCGACAAAGTTCAGTTTCCATACGGCCCCATCTCCCAGGCCGGCCTCGTCGGCGACACAGTCGAGGACTTTGCCCAGCAGTTCTCGGCAGAACAGAAGCAGACAGAGGCGACCCAGAGATGGAGGGAAGCACTCTTACCCGGAAGCTGGTGAACACACTGCTCCTTCCCCCGGAGGAGGGCCGGGAGGAGAATCTTTTGTTTCTGAAAGAGTTTGGACCAGCGGTACCCAAAGTCTCAATAAAAGAGCAGTTTCCTCAATCTCTGGGTCACACAAAGCATGGAAGCAGAGGACGGTGACGCCTTCTCACGCATCTCCAGCCGAACCTTCGACGGTTCCATGGAGCCAGGTAAGAGTCACACCACACTCACTGCCACTATTTCAGGGCGCTACGCCTCCTGGGTTGGGCCTCATTGCCCCTCCGTGGGTACACCAGCGGTTCCACTGAAACAGTTGTAGAGGCTCCTGGTGAATATGACATCCGCAGCTGCAGGCACTCCCTCAGATAATTACATATGAGACTGCTTCGTCGGGTGATCATCACAGCAATCTGTCTCTGCACTTTCAGCCTTTGGCGGACTTGCATGTCCGCCTACGGGAACATAGAACAAGTGTCCAGGCATGTTGTTGTCACAACAGATGCCTTCAGATTGGGGTGCTGTATCCAATGGGCATGCTGCTTCGGGCTCCTGGACAGGACCTCAACTGCAGTGGCATATCAATTGAGTTGCTAGCAGTATTGCTGGCCATGCGCCGGTTTCCATTTGGTGCAGGACAAGCATGTATTGGTCTGGACGGACAACACTGCGACAGTGGTGTACATCAACCACCAGTGCAGTTTATGCTCACATCGCATGTCGCAAGAGACACAGAGCAGCAACACCCGGACTTTCTTATTATTATTCTTGGTGACTTTATTCAAACAAACCTCACCCTCGAACTGCCAAAATACAGACAACACATTACATGTCCTACCAGAGACAAACATATTTTGGACCACTGCTACACAACAGTAAAGGATGCATATCACTCTGTCCCTAGAGCAGCTTTAGGACTCTCTGATCACTGTCTGGTGCATCTTATACCGACCTACAGGCAGAAACTGAAATCAGGACTGTTAAAAGATGGACTAATGAAGCCGAGCAGGATTTAAAAGCTTGCTACAAGTTTTTGAAGTTGCTGCCACTGATTTGGTTGAGTTTACAGATTCTGTCACATCTCACATCAGTTTGTGTGTGCATTCTTACCATGACTACATACAACAACAACAAACCATGGTTCTCAGTGAAACTCAGACAGCTTCGCCAGAAGATTTATATCGCCAATAACACACTGACAAAAGAGATAAGAGTGTCTAAGAGGAGCTACTCTAAAAAGCTGGAAAATGACCCTGCATCAGTGTGGAATGGCCTGAAAGATATTACAAACTACAAGACACTATCAACAACAACTGGCTGACGACCTGAATGATTTCTACAGCAGATTTGAAAATCCCAGTCTCACACCCTACACCCACTCTGACACAGTCTCTCTGCACAACAAACAACACCTCAACACCTCACCTACCCTTCCTCTTCTGCACTTTAGATCAAATAAGAGGATGTGCGTCAGGTCCTCAGGAAACAACCAGGCCCAGATGGTGCAGAGAAAACCTGTGCTGCCCAGCTGATCTTCTCGCAAATCTTAAACAGATCAATGGACCTGTGCAGTCCTTCCTGCTTCAAACGCACATCCCCCCCCCCCCCCCCCCCCCCAAAAAAATTTAACTGGACCTAATGACTACAGCCCAGTCGCTGTCATGTCTGTGGTCATAAAGTCATTTGAAAGACTGGTGTTGGCCTACCTGAAGGACATCACAGGACCCTTGCTGGACCCCCTGCAGTTAGCTTATCAAGCAAACAGGTCAGTGGATGAGGCAGTTAACACGGGACTGAATTATATCCTGTAACATCTGGACAAACCAGGGGCTTAAGTGAGGATCCTGTTTGTGGACTTCAGCTCTGCCTTCAACACCATGATCCCAGCACTCCTCCAGACATATTTAACCCAGCTCTCAGTGCCTAGCTCTGTCTGTCAGTGGATCACCAGCTTTCTGACAG